ATATTGTATTTGACAACCGTGACGGTATCGCCCAATCCACCCACGATTTCATTACTTGGAATTAGATATAATTTAATTTTATCACAGACATATCTAATTTTATCCATAATCCACTATTTATAGTTGAGATACGCTTGTAATCCATTAATCTGTCTATATTCATTATCTAGGTCATAATTGACAAGTAAATGGTTTTATTAGTTATCAAATATTATTAATATGTTTAATTCAATTTTATTTTTTAATTATAATTATTGTTATGTGTATTAAAAATTATTGTTATACCTGGTTTTCCAACTCTTTCATTTTTTTTTACATAAAAATATAAACAATTCTTGTTTYAAGCAGACGTCAGAACGTCACACCCACACATTTCCGTCTCATAAATGCATAGCAAATTTTACTATGTTATTTTTTTAATTTAATTTAATTTACCTCTTATACAATTTAAAGGTAAGATTATTTAATTTTTCATAATTTTTTATTATCTAGGGAATCAGGAGGGTCTTGTATGATATTTTTTTTACGAAACAAGTTCTAAACATTTAAAAATTTACAAAAATTGACAGTTTGTAAAATGCTCATTACTTGTTTCGTAATGAMAATATCATAAAAGCCTYAAAGATGCCTTGGATAGTAATAATAATAWCTAATTAAACTCTAATTTTTAAATTTTATAAGGGTCAATTTAAATTTTAAATTAATTTAAAAATACCAAAATAAAATATGCTATGTTGCACGTTTGTAAGTTGGAAACAACACGAGGGGTGGCGTCTTCAAAAATKTAATTTAATTATTATTATTTAAAAATTTTTAACTAGCTGTATTTTATACTCATAATCAGACAATTTTATTTCCTAAGAAAAGTTTATTTGTTAATATCAATTATAAACAAAATGTAGTTTTTTAAATTATTAATAAGCATTTAAATTTTAAAGCTTATATAGAGGGATAACCCGCAAAAGGTGTGCTCCAATATAAGTACGGCCTGTGCTCATAAATCATTTATATAAATACCACTACCGAGGCTTGTATATATTATTTGGCCATGTAATAAAATTAGTATTGAAACTACAGYTGCAATAGGTATCGTTATTCGTCTATAGTAATAAATTAATAAGTAATGGCCTATTGGTAATAATGACAAAAGTCAAACGCGATGTATTTGAAGTAGTAAACAACATTAATAACGTTGTAATGTTCCGTTAGGGTAGTAAGAGTAGGGATTTAATAGGTATAAACGTATTATACTTAATTCAAAATAACTTTTTATGAAAACAAGCATAATCGTGCGTAGGTATTCTTGGCAAGGGAGGCAATACCTTAGCTTAGCAGATTTTCCCCAATTGGTAGGTATAATATTATATTTTGGTGAAGAAGAAAATCTCGCAGGGGAGGAAGCCCCCGTGCGCACGCTTATGAAAACAAGTTAGGTATATATTGAATAAGCTTGACGTAAGCTTGTCAGCGTAAATTGTATGAAAGTCAAAATTACTTTTGTTTGTAAAACAATAAAAATACAAAAACGGTCAAACTTTTTTGGTCGATTCAGATGGTGATGGTGCTCATTATAATATTAATTAAGAAGAAATTAAGAAATKTAAACAGAAATTTTAAAAAATGGTATAATATAACAATCAAATTTTTCCTCATCGAATTAAAGCCATAGTGATGCTCATAACTAACGTCAAATCTCCAATTGTTTTATAAGTTTTGTCAACCATTGTTTAAATTGAGTATAAATTAAATAATTTCAGTTCTTCAATCGTCAAGACATTTATACCAATATAACGCATATTTTTTAATATAATTAACACAGTATATTTCTTAATACATTAATGAGGAATGAATAAGAAACATAAAAATCAACGTTTTTTGATATTTCAATTAAAATGTTAAAAAGTATTTCCTTGAAAAAACCTAAGCACCAACAACAATTAATCTTTTTTACTATTAAAAGCTGAAACCGTTGAACAAGTTGTAACAAAGATTCCAGATAAATTATAATATATTATTATTAAACATAACAATCGCGTGTTGATTTTGTGCTTTGCATGAARCATTTAGGTCATCACAGATTATATAATTATACGGGTCATGCATAATATAATGCACATTGCACATGCATCACCTTCAAAATTTTACATAAAATGTATATAAGTGATGTCAATAACTTCATGTTAT